GTAGGAGTAAATTGTTGTATCGTCAGCAAAGATACCAAGTTGAGAGCTGATGTCATCAGAGCGATCATTAATGAAAATCAAAAAAACAAAACCAAGGATGGAACCCTGGGGGACACCTGTGTTAGTACAAAAAGATCTAGGCAAGTGGCCATTCAGGATAACTCTCATTTCATGATTTGATAGGAAAGACTGGATCAATTCAAAAAAAGTGTCTGGAGACACTGTAACTTTTCAGCTTGTGGAGAAGATCTGAATACTAAACATTGACAAAGGCTTTTGAGATGTCCAATGCAACAGCCCAGGCTTCACTGTTTTTATCTAGAGCATGATAAACACTTTCTGTAAATATAGTCAGTAGATCAGCAGTTGACCTGGAGAGATGAAAGCCATATTGCTTGTCCGAGAAAAGGCACTGTAATGAGAGTTGACAAACCAATTCAGCATTGATTAGGGCCTCTAGGAGTTTTCCAAAAAGAGGTAGAAGACTAAAAAGCTGATATTTGGAAGGGTTAGATGGCTCACCAGAGTTCTTAAAAACTGGAACAACAAAGCAGGAGGCAGCAAGGCATTTATTATACAGTTTAGAGAGAACAGGAGCCAGTTTGGGAGCACACTTCTTAATGACTATTATAGGGATACAATAGGGTCTCTGTGCTTTTTGGGGATTTAGGTTAGAGATGATAGCATAAACCATAGAAGGGGTTATATGCATATCACTCAACAGACTTAGTTCTAGGAGGTAATTTAGTCAGGGATATGCTAGATGAGTCAATAATAGTAGAGTTTGAGGAGAATTTATGAGTAAAGCATTCAGTCTTAGCAGAGGATAACACCTCATATTGATTGATGAAAGGAGGAATAGAGACCTTACACTTATTTAATGCCCTATTACAGAGACACGAGAGCCAAAGTTGTTCTCTCAGCAAATAGGGACTTGCTTACAGCATAAGTGCATAAATGTATACTCAGAGAAAAAAAACAAAAAACGAGTAGAAATTGTTGGAAACACTGCACTCTGAAGACAGTGCTCAAACAATGTGGAGATGAATTTGCTCAAATGTGATATTTAAAGATTGTTGAATTGTGTTCGTGCTTACATATAATTATTTATTTATGGGGAATGGTGTAAATATTTATACATAGATATATTTAACGCCTCATTAATATTTTCAGAAAGGAATTTTAATTATATAAAACTATGTGTTAATTGTTGCTGGGTTAATTTATAAACTACTAAAGACAGTTGATGTAAACTGAAGTTATAGGGAAGATTTAATGTTTATTACAATTTAGTTAGACTATTGTTATATTGTGGTATTTTGGTAAAGATTACCATAAAACTTTATACAAAAATGGTAATTTTTCATTTTAAAATTGAATTGAAAAAGAACTATTAGGGTAATAAAGGATTTATGAGAACTTTATAAAAATAAGAAAGTTGGGACAAAAATAATAAGAAAGCAATACGGTGTTAAAATCTAGGGAAGTGCTGAGAAGTTCTTGGCCTTACTTCTCAAGTTCTGAGTATTATTTTGTCAGTGCAGGTAGAAAGAGTGTTCTTTTATATTATGAAGTGCCAATTTGCAGGATACTTGCATATTTTTTCAATTTGTTCAAGATCATAGAATATCATCAACAAAGTGTGGAATGTTTAAGTTTTGAATTCCAGACAATCATGATTTTTCTTGTTTCTGCAAAAGTAAACTCCAAAGGAAATCTAAGAGTGTATAGAACAAAAATTGCATGACAAGTTCTCATTATATTCAACTGTGAAAAAGTGATGTCCCACCTTCAAGCATGGAGATTTTGAAACACAAAATTTCAGTATGATTTAAGAGGACATGATCCATATTTTCAAGAATTGACTCCACTGAATGGTGTCAATTCTTGAAAATGTTGATCACGACTTAATATTTGCTAACCAATGAATTTTGGCCAAAAGAATTGCTAAGACAATAGACATATTCAGGGAATGTGTTGAGGTTATAATTTACAATGCAGAAACTGTCAGCTAAGTGTGTGCCAAAATGTTTGACTGCTAACTAGAAAACAATATCATGTGGACATTTCCAAGTTGATTTTGCACTATTTTCAGTGATCATGTAATCATTTTTGGAATGACTTGACACTGTTAATAATGAAACATAGTTACACCACTCACTATGATCTACAGACAGTCTGTGCAGTATTAGCACTCAGGTTCTCCACTGCTGGAGAAATTCAAGACCAAAAAAACAGCAGGAAAGGTCATGGCCATATGTTTTGGGGACAAGGAAGGTATTTTTGATAACTATCTTCAGAAGAGCCAAATAATGCAAGATTCTACTTTAACTTGCTGTGTCGATTAAAGGAAGCACTGAAAGAAAAAAAGATGAGGCAAGCTACAGAAAGGTATTTTTCTCTTTGCAGGAAAATGCACCTGCTAAAATAGCTGGCAAGATGATGGATGCTTTCAATAACATGTGGTTTGAGTGCATAGACCATCCACCTTTCTCACAAAATCTTTCTCTATTTCCTGTTTCCACACATTAAAGGGAGAAAATATTTGAATGATTCAGAAATGATAGCAGCAGCAAAGCAATATTTCAATGACCAAATATCAGGGCTTTTTTTGGAGGGGGGGAGTTAAAGAAACTAGAGAAATAATGTGCCATGATGTACTTCAGCATGGATATGTGGAATTTAATGTAAGTTTCATGACTCTAGGTCATTTTTTCCAGCACCCTCTTGCAAAATTCTGAGGAGAGATGTACTACCTGAAAATATTAATCAATTTCCATATAACAATTATTATCTTTTAAAATATCAAAAATAAAATTTAGAATTGATAAAACAATTGAACCTAATGACTGACTGCAAACTGGTATTTGTTCACTTCTTGATAAACATTAAAAAATAGTGAGCTAGACTACAACAAATCTGATTTTTATATTTCCTTTTGAGGATAAAACCAAAACCAATTTTTGTGTTTTGTAATTTCTTACCAAGCCAACTGATATTTTTATAAAAAATTAATTTTTCTAAGATTTTGTAAAAAGCACAATTAAAAAGACTTGTCCAATAAGATGGTACTTTAAATTTATAATAAAATTGGACAAGTCATTTTAACTTTTATGTGTGATAAAAACACAAACTTCTCAAATAGAAAGAGAAACTATTTTAAAAAGCAAATATTCTTATTAAATATGAATTCCTATGAGGTAAACTAACTTATCTAACTGCTCAATTATAAATAATGCATATTACTACATTCCTTGAATAAATTTAGCAAACTTGGATTCACTGCTCAGTTGAAAAATATAGGAATCTTCACATATCTTAAAGAATCTGATAATCTTGTTTTAATACTCAAATATTTCTCAATGTGCAGGTAGTTTAATAGCAGATTGGAACAAGAAATTGGCTAGCTAATTTCATCTGATCAAGTTCCTTATCTTCATTTTCATGCAAATTCCCATAGGAAAATTATGGACCCATTTCTGTTCACCACCAGCTATGAGTTAAATAACAGAACAGACTAGGCTCTCTAGCCATGGCTGGCAACCAATCTAGGAGAAAGAAAACTCTTATATATATATATATATATATATATATTAGATAGATAGATAGATAGATAATTAAATAAATTAAAGACATTATGTCTGCTTAATTTTAACATAATCTGTTCATACTCATGAATAACCTTCCGTGTATTGCAATTAAATGATGTGAGAAATGTGCTATAACTGTGAAAATTGCTTTTATTTCCCAAGTACTTTCGATATTCTTCTGAGATCATCATCAGGGGTGCAAGTAGTAATACAAAACTCTGTATTGCTATCCATTACTGTATTTTTTTCTTTTTGCTTTTAAATGCAATGATTGACAGTCATTCTTAGTGTTCATTAGAACGTGAAAAAAAAAAAATCCACTATGGAATTTTTTCTTCTATGTTGTAATGTCATGGTCATGCATGCATTAAAGAATGAAAAACTGTTGCTTTTATAGGCATTTCAGAACATTACTACAGTATTCACAGCTGATTCTATTCAGTGTCGGCTTTAATTTTTTAGTGTAGATTGGTTTGAGGATAGTAATGGTTAGCAACACACACTACTTGCACCCCTGAAGATGATCTCAGAAGAAGATCAAAAGTACTTGGGAAATAAAAGCAATTTTCAGTTATAGCACATTTCTCACATCATTTAATTGTAATACACAGAAGGTTATTCATGAGTATGAATGGATTATGTTAAAAATAAGCAGATATAATGTCTGTAATTTATTCAATCAGACATACCTAAAAGAGAATTTGCTGCCTAAATACACAAATATATATGGTATGCTATATTTATGGGCAAAAGTGCTTAATATCAGGGATAGAGTATATATAAATATGAAAGTGTAGACATGGCCTGAAGATTGTGTCTGTTCACACACACATATCTGTATATTTGTGTGTGTGTGTGTGTGTGTGTGTGTAGCCTTGGCAAAGCACATACTATACAGACATGGAAAAGATAATGAAGTTCACAATTGGTGTGTGGTTGATGAGGTAGGTACTACTCTATAAGACCTGTACCTTACTGATAGCAAAGAATATAAAGTTATCTCACAGATGGCAAAACATAATTATAACACTTAGTTATTGTAGATTTTACAAATATATAAGAGAATGGATTATATGTAATGAGAAGAGTAACAAACAAATCCAAAGTCTTGCTGATTGCTCTTAAAACAGAACATGAATCTAACATAGATGGGAGAAGATAATTTCTTTGCCAAAACAATACTTCAACAAATTTATAATTTGTAAAAAAATTCTTCTTTCATCTTTAAACTCCTTGCAGCAAAAAATGTGTTTGTTATATATAATATCAGTAAAATTTGTAGTATCATAGTGGAATAAATATATGTAATGTTTAAGTTTGGTTTGAAACCATATTTTATGATAAAGAAAAAATAAATCTTTATAAAAATGAGTCCTTTTTAGGGAAAGAAAGCAAATACATGGTACTTACCAAATTCTGCACTTTCAGCACTATCAGTACTAAGTCGGCGGTCTTCCCCTTCCTCCCGTAGGTAATACCGTCCAGCTTCTAAACTCTGCTCTACTACTGGGCGTTTCAAATCCAACTGATCTCTTAACCTCTGCAAAAAATAAAGTCAAAATATATCAGAAAATCAAATTAAATATTAAGATTAAAAAAATGTAAAATATATTTGCAAGGAAATCATGTTTTCGATATTTAAATTATGAAATTTTTTATTGGTAAAGAATTTTTGCAGAAATTATTTTAATTTTTACATTCTTTTAAATGTAGAGTTTATATTTACAATGTACTTGCAAGTATTGCTTAGAGGTAAATAAATGGGTTGATATAATTTAGACTTAATTTTCAATGCTACAGCAGTAATGCTTCTTAAATTATTCACTGATGAGAAAGATTTGCATAGTAATAAGAATGTTTAAATAAACACAGTATGGGAAAATATTCCATTAAAAATGTTTTAAATTGTAACAAAGGATGACAGTTTATGAAACTGGAAGCTGCAAAATCTACAGTTAATTTATGAAAACGGGAAAAGTAAAATCATAATTACCTAAGAATTTAAAAACAGAGAATATGGAACTATTTAGCTAAGAATAATATCTGATTCTAAGGAATAGCAAAATATTAATGAGCACAAAAAATATTATGCAGTCTTCAAAATAGTGATTCAAAATCACAACTGCTACCAAGAGAAGAAATCTAAATACATCTCATGATGAACAGTCAAATCATTTGGCTTGTATAATAGAAATATCTTGACCATTAAAGGACTTAAGAAAGATTTAAAAGGAGATAAGCCTTGTTAAGATACGAAACAGATTTGAAAGGGCAACTGCTGAAAGGCTACTGTTGGAAAGATTAGTAGGAACACTCTACATTGCCAATAAGGATAAGAAAAATATGCTTTCATTATTTTTTTTTTTTTATTTGTTTCACCCCAAGCAAAGTGTCAATGCCACTAGAACGCAGAGGGTTACAAGGATTGAAAATGGGGAGGATTGAGGAAAGAACAAAAAAGGAACTGGGTTTATGATGACAGAAGATGGTGACTGACATTGCACTTAAATTTTTGAAGATTGTAGTTATCAGGAAAGCAAAAAATCAAAAGGGATTTCTACAGGTGGGAAGTGTGAGGAAAAAACTGTTAGAAGAGAAGTGGCATTTGCATCTAAGCTAGTTCAACAGTAAAATGGTGAGACCGAGTTGCCAATCTAGTAGCATGCTTAAATTCATGTAGTCAGGGCATCAGGAAAAGAAGCTCATCTGTACAGTTGCCATGATAATATTTGTAGAACTGACTGGGAAGCCACATCACGCTAGTGAGAAAGTGACTAGAGATGAGATGCCTGGTCAGGATCATTGCAGACCCTTCTTTGGATTTTGTCAAGAATTTCAAGATGCACAGTAGGAGCACCAGACCATATATGGCAACAGTATTCGATAATAATTTATATATTTGCATGCTATTAAATTAGTATCTAGAAGGAACAGAAAGTGAACCAGTTATTGAGAGCTTCTTTACAAGTACAATATAACATACTTGGTTTTCTTCATTTTGCTGTTGGACTGTTTGCAGATCACCTCCAACTGGTTGCTGCAAGGCAATGGTACGCTGACGATGGTTAATCCATTCAATAAGTTCTTGCAGCTGCAGTAATAAGTGCGTCCACTGTTCTGCATTACTTTCCAGCCGTCCTCTGAAATTGCAATGAGAAGTGGACATTGAGAAAAATCAACAACAGCAATTTAAGAAAATATTACTTTTCAAACTGAAATTGTCAAATTAAAACAATAACTAAAAATAACTGATTTTTGACATTTTAGATATCCCATGTTTTAATATAATAATGCAATAATTTTAAGTTAAAAAGTTTCAATGGTCTGAAATAAATTTTTATAAAAAATGAAAAAGCAATAATTAATACTTTTTTATTTCTAGAGAAAATCTAAAATAGTATTATAATTCATTCACACAAAGGAAACAATGTGGTATTTATTTAAACATTTCATTTATTATCAGTGAGAAGAGAAAGTAATTATAAGATAAATATTCATGAATTTTATATAAGCATATAATCTATGTACTGGGCAGCTAAGAATATGTATATGAATTTCAATTTTAGAAAGCAATGAGAATCACTTAAATGTAAGCAAAACCTCAAAATTTTCTTCTGGTAAGAAAAAAAAAAAAGAAGAAAAAATCAGCTAATTTAATACAATCGAATGATGCAAGCAGTGCAAAGTATATGTTTCTGCTAGCCTTATGCCAGATATGCTTTTCATGGGTGGCAAATGTCTTCAACTGAGGTCAGCCATTTGCCTCAGAGAGGGAAACAGCAATAAAAAAATAAATAAATATGACTCAGAGATTTTATTGATATCAATTCACCTTATGGGCCACAGCAAAGTAAGTATTTTGTTTAAAGAATGAGTTAATATATACACTCCACTCTACCTTAAAACTTCATTGTGTATATCTGAAGGCTTACTCTGCAGCCAATCATTCAACAAGTCTTACTTCAATGGGAATGGGTCAATAACAGCAGGTCAAAGATGATACTGAAAGCTGCAGTCCCAATCCAACATGTAAGTAATTCAGGTCTAAAATCTGAAAACTACGACATTATTCAGTCACGAGCTGAATGACCAAAAGGCCTTATCTAATACTACATAGAGAAGGGCCTAGAAAAGGTGACCTGTACCATAACTAACAGGTATCTTCAAAGTAACTGAACAAAACCAAAAGACAAATGTCTACAAGAACATGAGAAGGATGCTGTGATAGGTTATGATATGAGACCACAGGATTCTTTTGTTGTAATTGCATTTTAAAGCTGAATATTAACAATCAGTAAGATCCATTCCTCAACTGAAGGTAATTTGAACAAACATGGTCAGGCCACACTCTCTACTTGTCAAGCAAATAAAAAAAGAGGTGCATCTCTGGTGTAGGTTTCCTGTTGAGAAGTGTCATTATCATTATGTTGAAATTAACCAACCTGATTGTATCACCTCCATGTGCCTTCTAAGCTATTCAGTGCTTATGTCCTACTTCTCTAGGAAGACAGAGGAGAAATACAAATTCTACAATGAACTATGCAACTCCCTACCAAATATCTCAGCAACTGATAGTTATTATCCTTGGTAACTTTAATGCTTGGAAAGTATTCTGGGTAGGGACAGTGTAGAAAAATGCAAGGAAAATAAATATCTCTTTTACACAGAATAGGAATGCTGCATATCAAACACCTTATATCAGCAGTACTGCACCTCACAGATAAAATTCTAGTGCACTCAAGGCATGTAAAAAAAAAAAATTCAATCATATTGCCTATTGCAATTTCACATGGGCCATCAGTTTGCTGTAAGCTTAGATTTTAACTTTAATTTAAAACTAAAGAAGGGACCCTACCTAAATCATTTACAGTTGGATACCTTGAAAACAAAGAAAATAGAACAAAACTTTAAAAGAAAATTACAATTCCAGCTCGAAAATGGCAGTTATCTGAAAGACCCTTCTGGAAACATAAAATTTGCTATTCTAGAAACTTTTAAAATAATTTTCACCAGGAGAAATCAAAACTAATTTGATGAAAACTACCAAAAGATTTGGGAACTTCTAACAAATGAGAAATCGGTACATTAGGAATATTTTGCTCACATATGAATTGCCTTTTGCCAAATAAGCAAAGCTCTTCAATGCAATCTGCATTATACAAATAGTTAACCAACTTTACTGAAATAATGTAACTTCATGCTAATGTCATTCACTACAGAGGTTTCTGCTAAGTCTCTTGGACTAGATCCAGTGTTCCCTGCATATCTCAAGTAGGACAGACTTGCAAACTAATCCTGAAGAGCTGATCAAAGCTTTTCTCCCACTCTCTTTAACATGGTTCAAGAGGTTACAATCAACTGCATCCACCAACAACCAACTGGAACTGAATGAAACACCAACACCCCAAGAAATTACAAAAGCAACAGATTAGCTGATATGTGGCAAAACTGCAAGTGCTGATGGTATCTCTCCAGAAATCTGTCAAAATGGAGATCCTGTTTTGTAGATAATGTTCCATGAACTCCTTATCTAATTCTGAAAGCAGAGTAAACAACCTGAGGACTTTAAAGAATGTTTACAAAACATTAGAGAAAAGTAAGAGTGTACAAACTATTGAATTATCAGTTTGCTTTTGATTGAGGTAAAATCCTTGTAAAGATTTCTGTTAAAAAGAATAGTAACAATTGTTGCTATAGACCATATTCTTAAGAGCTATTGTTGTTTTCTGAGATAAAGCCCAACTGATATGGGCTTTGTCTTAAGGCAGAATTTGAAAAAAATGTCAAAAGGCAAAAGAAAGGGCTGTATGTCACTTTTGTTGATTTGAGACAAGTGTTTGACACCATTAGCAGATGAGGAAGATCTGAGAGAATCTTGACAATTTGATTGCCCATGAAAATGTCTTACAATGATTATCCGATTTTTGTGAGTCATATGTATATATATATATATATATATATATATATATATATATATATATATATATATAAATGACAATCTAATCAATCTGAAATGACTTCAAAACTACAATACAACTAGTCAGAGTTCTTTTATATACAATGTCACTGCTCTAGTTGTCAACATAACTACCAAAAGCCACAGGACTCTTTGAATTAGAAGTCAGTCTGCAAATAAAACCATAATCCTCCATCAGCCTGCACCTTGACAGGAGTAGCAACTGTCTTGCATCTCCATTAGCCTGACAGAAATGGAAACAGTACAAGATTTCATTTGCCCAAGATATATTATATCATTTGATGTCAAGACAGATGAATAACAAACTGTTAGTATTTTCACACATTGCTATACAAAACAAAACTCAAGAAAAACATGAAAGTAAAAGTTTACAATGTCATTGTGTTGACTCCCCTTTTTTATAGTACCAAATCCAAAGTCATTATTCAGATTATGTTGCAAAATGTATATCTATGCTGTGCAGTTTATGTGTTGAAGATGAAAGGCTATTATCTATCAAAGATCAGACATTACAATAGTCAGCATAACAGAGAGCCACCATGAAAGAAATACAATGGTGGCTCACTAAAAATTTGCATCTCTTGTTAGTGGGCAGGAGTGGCTGCCTACAGGGAGACATGACAAAGATGTTTTCCAAGTGGCCTCATTTTCCAAAGAAAACTGCAAAACCAGAACTGAGAAGAGGGGGATAACTGCTAAACTGTCTCCTATAGCCAATTCTGTGTCAGAATTTACCTGTTCCATCTGTGAGTCTACTACAGATATGGAAACACGCCTAAATTTTTGTTTACAAAAGTAGTCATAATTATCTGGATATCTTATAATCTGAATATTATTTTTTTCTTATCACTGATAATGATGTAACAAAAGAAAGATTTCCACTTGAACATTTCAATTCTTTTATCTAAATTCCATAAAATTCTTATACTTGTCATATCTGCTGGCAAAAAGAGAAACAAATCTGATAGAAATTATTCTCTTGGTTTTTGCATTTGTTTTACATTATTATGAATATTATTCAGATATATGGTGGTTATTGGTAGAGAGAACTGAGACCTCTCAAATCTCCAGCACCTTTCTCAATATGTTCACGAATCCCAGCAACATTATAGTCTGTAATCTCAATCCTACCTCATATTTCCAGCTCGTCCAGTTTAAATTCCAGTGTTTTAGCACAGTTTCAAGTGCATCTACTATTACATATCTCTTCTCCCAAATTCAATTTCACACTCACTTTCATGTTCACTCTGTGGTCTGCCAGCACAGTTATATTTCTATAATCTCAAAGTTTTTCTAGAACCTTAATTTGTATTGATATCTCTTGTACACTCTATGACCCTCATTGAAAGAATTGTTACTCTTTATTTTTAAATTTTCATATTTTCTGTTATAAGGTGAGCAAGGAATTAAGTGTACAAAAATGTCAGCATGACATTGATGCTGGCTGCTAGCCTTTCTGGAAGTCTCTATACTCACATGTACTTCCAGAAAAGCCAGCAGTGAGCCATAGTAATATCTGTCTCAATGTAACCTGAAATTCAGTCATTTTTGTACACAATTCTTTGCTCACCTCACATTAGACTAATCTCAGTCCTCTCTATGCACATTTTTTTCAGTAGAGTTTTCAAGTTGACTGTGTTATAATGTATATTATATCATTTTCTAGTGAAATATCATTACTTTTTCTTTACTGTTTATTTTAGGAAAATCAGTTACATGCTATAAAAGTAATTTGCTGAAAAAACAGTATAGCATGATGAAAAAAGGCCCCAAACTTAATAAAAACAAAGTTTTATTATCAAAATGTTTGTTATTATTAAGAGGAAAGATCAAAGTATTTTTTTATTATTGTATTAAGTTTTTTGATCATTTCTAGGACGTTCAAAAAATTTTTGAAAAAAAAACAATTTTTTTTACAAAAAATTAGTGTTAGCAGTTGACGTAATATTTATGATTAGTGTTTTAGCACCATTTTTCAGGTGAAAAAAAAAAAACATTGATTTGGAAATTCTTGCAAAAAATCAAATAATTGTCAGGTTTAAATGATACTTTCAAGACTTATTCACAAATTAAATTTTTTGAAATTTTTTTTTGAAAATCTTGATAAAATTTTTTTTTTTACCCCCTACTTACTGAATTTCATGAAATTTCAAGAATTTAAAT